CACACACACACACACACACACACACACACACACACACACCCAAGCTGCCCAGGCTACCTATTTTGTCATGGGTCGTTTTAGTAAAGGTCAAGGACAGGCCATGGGCTTCCATGAATTTTTCATTATTGCCCGTGACCTGTCCGTGACTTTTACTAAAAATGTCTGTGACAAAAACTTAGCCTTAGCTGTGAGCCAATAATAATGTACAGGGGGAAAGGTTCTATGTGATACCAGTCTTCAGGAGCCATTTACCTTCACTTTACGCAGAAGGTGTGCTCCCAAAACTATGCACTTCAGCTGGCAGTGTTTATAGGGTGACTTTCCATGTTACACGTTTGCTTATGTCACTGTAATTCACCCCATCAGTTTGTCTCTGTTTGTGACGTCCTTTCCATATTGTTGTTCTGGAAACTAGCAATCCAGGTCCTGGTCCTGAAGGTACCTTCCTAGGCTTGTACCATGGAAGAACAATCCGATATTTGGTCCTCTTCCTTTGGGACATTCCAGTACTGGCCTGTGAGAGTAACTCCCTACCTGTTGCTGTGGTAAAACACCCCTATGTCTTGCTCCTGACAGTTTTCCTATCTACTTCAGCTAATGCAAGGTGTCATGGGATTCTTAATGTAAGTGAACAGGATTCTAGTTAAGATTAGGCCAATTTAGGCTATGCAATTGCTATAATATTTGTGTTTAATGGATACTAATATATATATGGTGTGGATAATACCTAGTAATAATATAAGATAGATAGATGTGTGTATATATGCTAGCCAGCACATACTGGTCAACAGAGAGAAGGAGACAGATCTGGAGCAGAGGTAGATCTGAGAGTCGTCAGCATAGAGATGGCTGTTGAATTTGTGTAGGTGGATGAAATTACCCAGAGATAAGGTGTCGAGGGCGAAGAGAAGGGGACCAAGGACAGAGCCCTGTGGAACCCCCCCAGGAAGGTGCAGGACACGTAAGGACATGGTGAAGGTGAGATTAGAGAATTAGGAGAGGACAGTCACGGAAGCCAAGGGAGGCCAAGGTTTCAAGAGGAGCATGGCTGATCGGTCAAGGAAGGTGAAGATGGAGCACTGGTTCTAAGCTTTGGTTAGGGAGAGGTCATGGAGTCATCCTCAGAAGCGGTTTCCTGGAGTGCAAGGGGCAGAAGCTGTACTGGAGGGTCTAGGGTGGAATTGGAGGAGAGGAACTCTGTCAGTGATTTATAGATAGTGCCTTCAGTGATGGAAGGAAGATGGGGCAATAGTTGGAGAGGCAAGTGGAGTCAAAGGTGGACTTCCAAGATGAGAGAGACTAAGGGTATGTCTATACTTACGCGGTAGTTCGACGGCTGGCAATC